TATTCAGGGGTGATTGATTGATTTTTTGGCATTAGCTATATGCAATTACTTAAGAGCTCTGAATGTTTCCCATTAGCCCTTGGGTAACTTTATTGCCTGCACACCTTATCAGGAGCTGAGACACACTCTATGTGGTGTCAATTCTGTGGTAGCCTGGGTCTATGACAAAAAGATCCAACGTCATAAGAAATTTCCAAAGAAGAAAATAAAGCCAGAAGCTTAAGTGTGGTTGAAGTCGATCAACACAAGGCTACTACCATGCTACCATGAGACGATGATCAGCCGTGAGAGGGTATGCCTGCTTTATTTCCTAATGACTGGCCAAAAGGTGAATGTGGACCGGTTGATATACCACCAGATGGCGCAGGTGAGAACAAGAAATAGAGTTGATAGGTTGTTCTTCGGCAACATGCTGACATAGTACTTGAGAAAAGAGGAAGTAGAGGAGGAGCAAGATTTTTATGTAGCCATTCCAACACCCCTCCGAGGGACAGACATCACCAACATCCGGACGAAGGAAAAGAGCGATATGTCTTCACTTACAGGTACCGAGCGCAATGCTCGAGATGAACAACTTTATGTCCCATTTATATGGGATGCTGGATTAGTAGCTTCAGATTGGAGGGAGGCTAGCTACTCCGGAGTTGAGGGCCAACTTGAATAAGTGCTTTCCACTCATTGCTCATGCCCAGTGTCTGGTTGGGCTTGGTGAGGGCCAGAGACTCCCTGGAGACGAGGATGTCAACACACCGGATTGTTCAGAGGCCGAGCCAGAGCAGTCTGAGGAGGAAGCTGGGGATGATGTTGATGAGGGAGCAGATGATGAAGAGTGGACAGCTGCAGATGAAGCCTTCTACAATAAAGGCGATGATGATGACTGATCAGGGAGTCTTTTTTCCTACAACCTTACTTGTTTTTGTAGCTTTATATATGCACTGAGGACACTGCATGAATTAAGTGTGGGGTGGGGGATTCTCTATTCTTTGTGTGTTGTAAATAGTAGATAAACTAACAGTTTCTTATTTGTAAATAGTGGATAAACTAATAGTTTCTTGTTTTATTTGTTTTATTGGCTTCTTCTTTTCTATTTTAGCATAGAATATAAAAAAAACATTTTAGTATAGTATTCTAGATTTAGTCTTTAATTTTTAGGATTGCTTTTAGTAGTTTAATTTGAAACAAACTATTAAAAATCGAATATATATATATATATATATATATANCCTAGGCAGTTTTCTTGAGGGATTAAAGTCTAATAAAAGACACAAAAAAAAATTTGAAAAATAAAAAAATCCAAAAATATGCCTTTTTATTCTTATAGGTAGTAATAACCCCCCGTGATTTTTCTTTGTGCCTCGATTCTTTTCTATGGGATATAGTTGAACCTGGTAGTATTTTTTTTTTTCTAGAGTAGATTAGGATAGAGGAATAAAGGGATGGAAAAAATGAGATTGATAGGCGCATTTTGACTTGTTTGATAGTAGCATATTTAGGCTCTAGCATATGTATTACCTTCCCTATGGTTTGAAAGTGCTTATGATTCCTTGTTGAGTTAGATTGCATGTTAAATAACACCTATGTCTCGTTTTCTTGGCTTGTATCACTTTGTGCTTAATGCTTAATATTTTGTAGCTCCGTGAATACTTGTAATTGTTTGAGAGTCGGAATAGAACCGTCCTTAGTGAGTCATATGCCAGGTATGGTGAGAATTTGTGTAGTCCGTGTTATTGCATTAGAGTCTAGAACTTGCTCGTCATGTGAGTTGAAACAAAATCCTAGGCTTTGCTCGATTTGAAAAATAATTTTAGGCCTTCTTTGATCTTTTTGAGTTTAATGCTTACCACAAATAAAACTTATCCCTACTCAACCTTTTTGAGCCTATAGACTTTTATTTGGCAACCACATTACAAGGCTATACCCTTTGTTCTTAATTGTCATTGTTTGATCCTTGTACCTCTTGAAGCACTTGAATTGTAAAATGAGCGCTAGAAGAAGTAAGGAGGAAACTTGGATGGCTTTTGAGTGGAACCAATGAAAGATAAAAGGTGCACGTATATTGTAAAAGAATACACTACTAGCGAAAATTTCAAAGAAGAAGAAAAATTACAAAAGAAATAAAAAAGCACATAGCTGGAAAAAAGGGTAGATGAATAAATTGATATATTGTCCTTGCTAGTAGGTGTGAAGTAAAGTAGTACTTAAAAAAAATACTCTTGGAATGATATTGTTTGTGAAATTGAAGTTGGGATTGAGGAATTTGCGCTTAAAGTTAAATATGTGACGTGTTAAAGTGCTTAGGAGGGAGAGGCGCTATTCCAAAAATATATCCTATACGTTCCTTAGCCCACATTACAACCATGAAAAAGTCCTACTTGATTTTAGATCGAGCAAGCCTACATTAGTGGAGGTTTACATAATGGGCAAGCCTATGGTACTTTGTACATGCATGTGACTTCTTTGTGAGAGTGAAGAATTTCTTTGAGATATGTGAGTCCTTAAAATATATTTGAGTATTTGATTCGAATGTATAGATTCAACTTACTTTTTTATTCTTGTTGTGAGGGCACACGATTTTGCAAGGGATAGGTGACGTTATTAGATTTCTCTATGATGTTAAGTGATCAAGCCATGAATGCATTGTGATATTTAGCCGGTTTGTGAGACTAGGATTGTTATGAGCATGTTGTCTTGATGTTGAATAAATTTTTGAGGTATGGCATAAAGTAAAGGGAAGTGTGTATTGAAGGCATATGCTAAAGTTTAGTTGTTGCTATCAACCATAATCATAGGTATAGTGTGCTTCGGATTTGTTGAAGGAAAATAAAGTGCTCAAGGTTAGGTTGAATTGGTGGTTGACTCAAGGACGAACAACGTTTAAGTGTGGGGTGGTGATGTTTGGCCAGAATTCTTTATTTTTAGTACATTATTACTCGCCCTATATTTTGTTGATTTAATAATTAATTGTGCGACATTTGAGCTAAATTATGTTATTTTATGTGTAGGAGTATCAGAATAAATAGTCGAATGAAAGTTGCACAAAAAAGGACAAAAATGCAAGAAACGCACACAAAAATACAAAGTACCCAAGCCTGGCTACAGGCCAAGCGTCGCCGGCTTTGTAGCCATCTTGACCGCGCTATAGGTCCGCCTCACGAGGTCCCAGGCACGCTACAAGCATGGCCTCACGAGATCAGGCGCCCGATGGCCAAAAGTTCGCGAATTAAAATACTCCGACCCGGATTTAGACTCAAGGACCTCGACCTTAACATATAAATAGCCAAGCGAGTTTAGAAAGGGTTGGACATTATTTGGAGAAGAAAAAGGCTATAGAGCACTGTGGAGTAGGAACCAAACGAGTTTTCCCTCCGTTTCTCTTTACTTTATAGTTTAATGTCTTTAAACATCATGATGATTGTTTATACATTTATGACTGGCTAAACTTTCTCATCTAGGGTTTGATGGAACCTATTGGAGGTGATTTTCTACTATATTTAATATAAATTTGCATTTGATTTTTCTCTACTTGTTCAACTACGTTTTCACTGTTGTTGATTGAAGAGCTCTCAATTGACTGTGCCTATTTTGTGTGTATTGCTTGAAAAAGGGTATACATTTAGGTAGTTGTTGAACAACATCACTCCTAACGTATATGAGGAATCAATACGAAGGGTTTAAAGGTGAGATTAGGAATAACGAAACCTTGGTGCGATCATAGTGAGCAGTAAACTAGTGCCAACTAGCGTAGTTCGGAAGAATACGTCTAGTAAATTATGGTAGTTGCTTGGAAGAGAATTACGACACCTAGAGTACTCACAATCGGTAGAGAATACTTAGGCGAATTTATAGGAAATATAGTGGGGAGGATTCCGATAATAGAAAAAATCATAACCTTAGACTTTTCCAATCTTGTTTACAATATTTGCTCTGTTAGTTATAAATTACAGCATTTTAATTACTTCGCTCTTAGTTACAAACACTCAAATTATTATTTAATATTTCTGAAGATTGACTACTTGAATTCTTGCGAAACTAGTGATTGTGATTAGTAGGTTAATTCCCTATGGGATTTGACTCCGAACTTGTAAATCAGATTATATTTGCAACAACTATTAGTCCTCTTACACTACTAAAAATTCGGCAAAAAACGACCACGGTCGACCGACCAATTTTGGTCGGTCAAGAAAAAGACCAAAAAACCGACCAAAGTTGGCCGGTTTTTCAAAAATATTTTATTTTTTAATATTTTTTTACGAAACCGACCAACTTTGGTCGGTTTTCTTTGGCTCAAAAATGCGAGAAACTATTTTTGAGTCCGCGAAATTTATTTTTCAAGAAACCGGCCAACTTTGGTCGGTTTTTCATTTAAAATAAATGAAAATTAATATTAAACAAACCGACCGAAATAGGTCGGTTAATTCGGCCGGTCATTTTAAAAAACTGACCGAATTCGATTGGTAATTTTATTTTTTAATAAAACCGACCAACTTTGGTCAGAAATAACCGACCAACTTTGGTCGATTTTTTCAGTAATTTATTTTTTGAATTTAATTGACCGACCAAAGTTGGTCGATAATTACGACCAACTTTGGTCAATATGCCCTTTTGACCTTCAAAATACCGTCCATACGTAAATGGTCGCATTTTGGACGGTTATTGGCCATTACCGACCCACTTTGGTCGGTTATTTTGGACGATTTTGCCCGAATTTTTAGTAGTGTTAGGAGGCATAGTTGGGCGTGATCAGTGACGATCTGAGCAAGTAGAGTATACGATACTTGCCTCTAGGTACATAACATGGTTGGCTTATATTTTGTGTCAGTCATAATATATTACTCTTGATTAAAGATAAAATCTCACATGATTTGGGTTAAGCTTTTAAAGCTAAATGATGACATTAAATGTGCTTTATTTTATTCTTTCATTTATTATCTAAATGCATGTTAAAGGAGAGAAAGAGGCCTTATATTAGCTGAAGACACTCCAAGCCAACAAACAGGAAATCAGTGATTGTCCATAAGCAAAACGGAGAACTCGACACGAAATAAAAAACCTAGCCGGGAACCCTCACTAATCTCAGATTGGAAACCTCTCCGATAACGGAACATCGACTGAAAACTCGAACCTCAAACGACAAACTTGGACGAGGAAGCTTCGAAGTTGAGCTCAAATAAACTTTTTTTTTGGGTGAGCTTGGCAACAGCTGTTGCTGCGTTTTCGAGCTGCTCTTGGCTGCGTTTTCGGACTGCTTTCTGCATGCCTTTTGGCTGGGTTTTGAGTGATGTTTTGGACTGTTTCAGGCTATTTTTCAGTTGGGTTTCATGCTATTTATGGAGGAAAAGTGATTGTTTTAGCTATATTTTCTGCTTCATTTTAGGGGGCTATTTGGGGCTGGTTTTAGGGTCATTTTTGGACATTTTAGATTGTTTGGTACTGTTTTTCGCTGTTGTTTTGGGGGTGGGATTTGAGGTAGTGTTTGGAGGTTTTAGTGGCTATTTTTTCGTGTTTTCAGGTGGTCTTTATGACTGTTAAAGGTTGGTTTCAGAGCTGGTCTTTGCGAAGCATTACACGGTATTTTGAGGAACCTTTGGACTGGTTTTTCATGAAGGATGAAGAAAGTTTCAGATTGGCTTTTGTGGTGAAGATGATGATGAGTCGATGAGGAAGAAGAGGGAGGTACAAGCCTAGAGTTTTCCCTAATTTTTGTGTACCTTCTCGTCTGTCTATATTTTTTGTGTCCCTCCCTTTCCCTCTTCGTTTCTTCCAAATTTGTTTTCTCTCCCCTCTTTCTTTATGTGCTTATGTCTGTTTATTTTACTTTTGTATTGCATTTTCTTTCAAATCTTTTAAAATAATAATTTAAAAATGCTACAGCTACATTTAGTTTAAAGAAGCAAGATAAAATACTAACTACTCAATATTCACACTATTAAAACCTCTTGAAAATTAAACTAGACTAGATGAAAGAATATATTTTTTGAAACTTTTTCTTTCTATAGCAAATGAAAACACAACTAATTTATTTATTTAATTTAACTATATAATAATAAGTGGAAGTTTGGTGCGACGAAGGGTATTTGCGTAAACAAACCAAAAGTGAGGGCAATTTTCTAACTTGACTGTGATTCCACGTGTTAGTTTTGGACAAATCCACCTGAAACCTTGGCTTCTTCATTGTAAATTTTGTAAGTAAATTTACAGTAATTTGTTTCACTCTCTCTCTCTCTCTATGCTTATTCCTCTACTTTTCTCTGTTCTCTGTTCTCTGCCGGCTCTATTTCTCTCACCGGTGGGTTGTGCTATTTCCTTTTTATTCACTGTTTTCATCTGATTTTACTTTTATAATTTATGTATATGCTTTTGGTACTCTTTGGGTTTCAGCAGTGACTTTTCAGTTTCCTGGCTATATAAAAGCAGGAAAATGGGTATCTCCTTTGCTTTTTCTCTTTTTTTTCAAAAGAAATTATGAACATCTTAAGCTTTTGGGTTGTTTTTTTGTTGGATTCTCTACATGCATGTCTGAAATTGGTTTCAAAGGTCGAGGCAATGATGATATTCTGGGGGTATGATATTTTTTGGGCATAGCGGCAATCAAACCCGTATCTCCGCTTGGTGAACCTTGGATGGTATGTGATTTGAGGTTTCTATGTCACATGCAATATGTTCTTCTGATTTGGGTATGTGATTTTGCTTTTCTAATTTGATTAGGTTGCTCACGCTATTTTTCCAACAGCAGTGTTCTCTCTATCTCAAGCAATTCTCAAGGTAAGAGAATACATTCTTTTTGTTTTATTTTGCTTTCAAATTTGAAAGAGAGATTTTGGCTTTCTTAAAAAAGTTAAATCTTGAATATGGATTTTGTTTTCCTCTTTGATATTTTGACCAATATTGTTTAACGAACTAATGCAAAGGGGGGAATTCTTTTCTTCCATAGAAGGTTTTAAAGATGGGTTTACTGAATAAGTGATTGAACATGTATTTATATTTTTTGGCAGCAACCTCTACGACAATGCTGATCATGAACATATTCGGCATGTTTCTCTATTTTGTGAGTTTTTTTTCTTTCTGCTATGCTATATATAGATGTGCTACTATGCCTGAGTGTTTTATTTTCTTTGACATGTTCTATATGTGTCTGACACTTTGCTCTGAAGAAGGATTAGAAAATTATGGACATCGTTGATGGAGAATGCAAGTAATGGGCATGACTTAGTTTATTTAATGTTTTACTTAATAACGATAAATCAAATTTCTTACAAGATAATGCTTTGTAGCTTATGGACTATATATTTTCTACGAATAAAACATAGTTACACCAAAATAGTAGGCTATGGATAATATAATGTCATCAACATATATCATGGAGCTTCAGTATTTTTCTTTTTCGTATTCGCAATGATGGTATTCTCCAAAGTTCTTCAAATAAAAATATACATCTTGAAAGTAAACTGTTTTTTTTTCTTTGTTGTATCAAGTCTACTACTGGTTCTTAATGGGTTTCAATAGTTTAGAAATTGAACTCTCGATCTTCTTACCGTCTAGGATGTCGGTCTTGATATATATTATTTCTGGGACATTCAGTTTTGATTTATATAGGCAGTGTTTACTCCACTTACAAAATGCATTTATGTAGATCTCTGTAGGTTCAAGTATTAGCACTTTAACATTTGTTCCTGTAGTATCTTTGCATCTTTTCAAATGTCTCTCAGGACAATTGGGAATTATAAAATATTGCATTGCTTCGAGACAATACTTCACCGGTTTGTAGTCCTGTCACGAATGAAGTATACACTCATTGCTACACGCATGTAACATGTCGGTCATGTTATAGAGTAAATTGCGACTACAATCAAGTTGCTATTAAGTCTTCTCACTTTTTAATTTTTTGTGTTTGCAACAGGATTATTTGAAAGGAGCTGAACAATATTAATTTGTAATCAGATTAAATGCTGCGGCAAATGATCGAGGCAAAAAGGAAATATAAACTCCATAGAATATTCTTCCTTTTTATTTTTCAGATAGGAAATTTTATCTTTTTCAATCTATGAAGAGTTATAAATTTTGTTTGTGTCCTTTGTTCCTTTTGTTTTTATGTTGTTGAGTAGTACTTGTAATTTGTGCAATCTCAACACGATACAATCTATGAGCAATAATTGTCTGGTGAAAGAACATTTAATTCTATAATATTTTTCGTGTTAAAATTTAAAATATAAGTAACAACTCTGAATTTGAGGTATTTAAAAGCTATTACTCTTCTACTACCTTTATAGTGGGGCTTTGGTTTTCCTACGAATTTGCTCTTCTTTGGTCAACATGTTCAAATGGCAATAACAATGTGGTCTTGAACATCTCCTAGCCAATAGGATCTGAAATTGTAAAGGAGGGAATCAAGAGAATTCGTACGTCTCATGTATTTTGAACTGATAATCTTCTTAGTGCAGGCCAGTGGGGATACAAATTTTGCATTTGGTCGTGGTTCATTCTGCTTTTGTTTATTAGAAAGTACTTGTACTTTTGTGTTATTTTAAAATAATGTAGTAGCACAATGATAGCTCAGTAAAGTAGCATATAGTTTTATTATAACACTGTCAAAATCTGAAACACGAGAGAATCCTACAATTGAGGTATTCTATTAGTCATGAACTTGACATGTATATTAGTTAGACACATCTCCTACTCTCATCCTTTCATTTTCTTTGTTTATTCAATATCCTATTAAAGATTAGGTTTTAAGACTAAAAAGTTTTGCTTACTACTAAGTCATGCAACAAAAATTACGTTGGTTGGTTTGATATGATAGTACAAAATTTCAAGAATAGAGCAAAAGAATGGTCATATTCTTCGCGGATTCAATTGGGGGGAAAACAAAAAAAGTATGTTAATTTTTACATTTAGGGATGAGTGTGTCTCAAAGTGTAATACAAATTTAAATATATCTAATTTTACCATTCTTTTGTTCTCCCAGGGAACCTGTCAGAAGATCAATTTAGTGTGATCCTTAAGGTAAGTTCTTTTATTTTTGTATTTTACCTTTTAATTGTACCTACTTTTAAGTTAAGTTCGATTTGAAGAGATAGTATATGGATGCTTGCTATATCAAGAACTGTGGCCTCTTCATAATATGGTTAAATATGAAGTAGAGAGACCATTTAGTTAGGTAAAAGAGAGAATCTTTCAATAAAGAGAAAGGATGATGGTATAGTGTGATTTTACTTCGTTCAATGAGGTCTCTACAAGTTGAATATTGATAGAAATAGTAATTTGCTCCTGAATAAATAGAAGTCATTCACTCAAAAGTTAAAATAAAGTTGAAAAACTAGCTGTGCTGAAGAGTTCTGCATTTCGGCAGTTTTATGAGTTAATATCATGTTGAACGCGAGTCAAGTCTCTAATATGGTACTCTGGAGTAAATAAAACATCCTTTTCATGTACTTTGTAGAACCCTTTTTCCCTCATTTATGTACCAAGTTTTAATATATCAGAATATGTTAGCGATAGTCTATTTTCTTTTATTTCTAGCACCATACTGCTGTATTGTGAAACATAAAATTGGTATAAATCAACTGTCATTAACTTTTTATTGCTTTTCTTCCTTTAGAAAATCGTGGAGGCAGAGTAAGATAAGGATAGACATGTTGATTATCACTCTTTCATGTAGTTAATCTTAGTTGACACTATGATATTATGGCTTGTGCTACCACTTTCAGTGATACTCATTACTATATTTTTTTAAAACTATTAGATAATTCCTATTTGAATAGATTTTGATTGTTGACCAAGATGTCATCTCGATACAAGGATTTTGAAAATCCATCTACGACCATCAGGATGATGCGCTGCATTTGGTATATATAATTTACTAATATTTTCTCATACTGCTTTATATTTGCGAAATTGGTCCGACGTGAATATAACTTTTGAATAAATAAATCGGATACATTTTGAGTAGCATGAAAAAATATAACCCGCATTAGGCAGCAGTACGCTTGTAAGATGGTGATCTTTAGCTTATAATGCTACTATCTTCCTTTAACCTACCTGTGAGTTCTTCTTCCAAGAGAGATATGTTGCTTTGAGCTAATAATTTATTTTGTGAATGTGGAGCATAAGTATTCAATTGATATTAGGAAGCAATGATGGATGCTAATGAGATAATCTATTTTGACTATGAATTATGATGCCATTCATGATAAGTTTTAAGTCGATCAAATTTTATGATATCTGAACACGGGCAAGTTATTACAGTAATGGTGGTTCACCTTTTTAACATAAATTTGTTTGGCAATTTCTCTATGTTTAGAAGTGTCTTAATGTTTTTTTCTTTTTCTTTCTTTTGTTTTTTTCAAAAAACTTAAGGATGCTGCATATAGTAGTGTAGACCTATACATGTTCCACCTTCAACTTTTAAGCAAGAATTGTGCGGAAATTCTGACCAGGATAATGTTCACAGTTTCATATTATTTAAACAATCAAGAAGGCTAAATAACTCAAAAACTAAGAAAACGAATTTTGTGCTTTTTGTTAAAGAGTTCTGTAACAAAGGAATCTCTTTTAATTGTTAATGAGTGCGATTAATTCATAAGTTCCTATTTCCAAAAACAAAAGGTGTACCCTACTGTTTTAAATTATGATTAGGTACTGCTACTTTATTAAGTTCTCAAAAATGAAAGAGTGCAGTACTTCTTCCTATCTGAATGAGCCAAGCCCCAACTTCTTATCTGAAAATCTGGAATTTATTATAATATTTTTAACCAAAAGTGTCTTACATGGTATGTTATGATTATCAAATCAAATTACATGTTGTTAAGTTTTCTTCTGATGAAAACCTTTATGTTTAGTTCTTATGTTTTCATTAAAAATGGAATGCAAAAAAGAAATTTAATTGGTAAGAACATATCAGGCTGATACCACTTGGTCAAATACATTATACGCCATGCAACTACTTGCATATATATTCATTAAGGAGCATTACAGGAACAACACAATGATTAAAGTTTGTTCCAGGAGCACCTGTTAGAAAATAGTTGTTTCGACGGCCAACAACCGACGAAAGAGGGTTTGATTTTCATAGTTGTTTGTGCATTTGTAATCTACCACTAGCATGGTTTTAGCAATCCGAGGTTGACATTGTCTTGAAAGAATCTGATGTTATTTTGTGAAACCTCTTCCTGCTGATGAAATATGTTGGAATTAATAAGCTGATCTTCAAAAATGATGGAACTAATAAGCTGTTGTTTCATTTGGTAGGGTGTTGGAGTTGATAACTGGGAGGACTTGAACTCTAGTTGTGGTCCAAATTCTAATACTAAAGATGGGGTAGGCTATGATGAGGAAAACCACTTTAATCTGTTAATAAGATAATTTGCTGCTCATTCGTAACCTACATCTGGAAAAATATTCTTTTGTTCTTTTATGGCTAATTTATCTATGATGCCCTTACTTCCAATTAAATTTTCTTTAAGATGTATTATTTTTCAACACGGACATCTATATGCTTGGAATTCCCGTGTATCCTGGAGTTGTGTTTCTTATCCACATGGCTTATGTTGATTCAACTTTTATTTGGCAGATTGCAGTCAAGAAAATGAAGAGGAAGTTCTATATTTGTAAAAATGCATGAAATCTACAAGAAATACAGGTGTGTCTTTTATTTGCTACTAACACTTGATGTCCCAAAAGCTTTGATAAGAAGATGTTGATGCACGAGATATGATATGTTAACCTGCTTCCATGTATTGACGTGGTACATATATATTATGGTTTTAAATATTTCTCCGTGCAATTCCTTTCAAATTGAATCAATGTTATCAACCTACATAAGATTGTCATGGAAACAATAAGCTTTTCTTCACAGTAGAAGTCATTGGACTTGTGATGTGTCCTTTTTACTTCTCTTAACTTGGAAGTTTTTTTCATTGTTTTTTTTTTTG